ATACGCACTAACCAGCTCAATGTTTGTGTAATTTGCAATGCGTATGAAACCGAAAGTCCAACAGTGCCTGGCTCGAGTGTATCGCGACTCAAGACAGCAAACAGAGCGGCAAACAAAATGATTAAATTACCAACCATTTCCAAACGAACAGCTAACCAACGATTCGCGAACACCGATGGCGTGTAAGACTTCTGATTGAAATCGACTCGATTATCGGAATCCGTGATGAACCTGGTGAAAGAATTTCGTTTTATTTTATTTTGTCAATAAAGTTTACGCTATGCTTAAATCTCTTCTACCTTTGTTGAACGTTATATGCCCGAATAATCGATGCTCCTTGAATGCTTTCCCCAAAGTGAGAGTAGATTGGGGATCTTGATAGTGATTCAAGACGTTTCAATTGACGTGATGTTGGTACATAAAATCGTTGCACAAAGTAGTAAACGATTCCGATTGGCACAATAACAGCCAAGAACAGGTATGTTGACACACTGATTACGACCAAAATTGCCAATGTCTTTGTTGGTTCACGATAAAATCAAGCAAGCAATTAGTGTTTGTGCAGAAGTTCAAAGTAAAATAAGAAAACAACTTCGAATCAAAAAGAGACTAATAAAGTTGTGGACAAAAGTACCACAATACTGAATTGAACGGAAAAGAAGTTTTTTTTGCAATTTTCTTGCCACTAGAAAGACATAGCGATTAGGTGTCTTCAGCATTATTGAACTTTAGAAAAACTTCAAACATGCCAAAGACACCTAATCGCTATGTCTTTCTAGTAGCGAGAATAAATGCAGAAAACGGCTGTTACGCTCAACGTGTCACTTTTGCTCACAACTCTATTTGTTTCTTTTTTGCTCAGTTTTATTCATTTCAGTTATTGAATCGGTTTTTATATGTCTATCTCTTGCTTTCAATGTGTTATGTCAGTTATAACAAATCAATAATAGATTGATGACAAATTTATTAAAAATTTTATCATTTGAAGATGCAGAGAGTCATTTAATTATAATGAAAATATTTCTCGAAGGTTTCTTACCGAAAAAAGTGTGTTAATCCATCCTCTGATGACTTGTGGCAACACGTTATCAACTGTGTTCACATCTTTTGAGAACCGATTCAACACTCGACCGACTGGAGTCGTGTCAAATGTTTCCATCGGCCAACGAAGCACATTTTTCAATAAACTATCCTGCATTACTTTTGCCGAACGAATAAAACCTAGCGATAACATCAACGTCGTGACAAAATTGAGAAAAACTAAGAGTATAAAAAGAAATTGAACATAATACATACTTAGAAAGAAGAAATTGGATGAGGAGTTGAAGACAATTGGGATAAAATTGACAGACAACTTACCTTGTCCCAAACCAAAGCCAGCATAACCACCCAAATAAAGGTTCCTTTTGTTCGTGTCATTGGCGGCTGCCTTATCGTTTGACCATGCTGCAAGCCAAGTATTTGATCCAATAGTGAATCCTTGGTATACGATGTTCAAGATCACGGTCAAGATCGTCAACGAGACACCAATAGTCTTGAGATAATGCTTGTATACATCCCATTTCACACTTCCAACTTCGGCCTTCTCTTGTTCAATAAGCTTTTGTCCACCAGGTTCCGGTTTCTCAGTCTTTAAATCACTATTCGAACCATACTTGACTGATCGTCTGCGAACGCCGTCCTCATTTTCAATTGTACTTTGGACTGAAACGTCTCCATTCAACGATGCTGATTCCGAATGACTTTCACTTCTCGATCGACTAATTGCTCGTTCAAGTTTTCCACGAAGCTCTGCGTCTTGGTTTGTTGCCAATGTTGATTCGATTTGCTCTTTAATCAAATCCAAATCTTCTTCGTCTTCGTTCACTTCTTGCAAATGTTGGATCAAAAATTCGGCAAAGTCACCCTTTTTGCTCATCAATTCTTTCATTGTACCCGATTCACTGATTTCACCTTCTTTAACTACGTAAATATTATCCACATTTGGCAAATAGGTGATGCCATGCGTCACGAG